GGTCAGGCCGGTTGCCAGGTTGGTAATGCGTGCTGGGAGCTGTTCTGTCTGGAGCACGGTATTCAGCCTGACGGCGCCATGCCGTCTGACAAGACCATCGGCGTTGAGGACGATGCATTCAACACCTTCTTCTCTGAGACTGGTGCCGGCAAGCACGTTCCACGCGCTGTCTTCCTGGACCTGGAGCCGACGGTGGTGGATGAGATCCGCACGGGCACATACCGCCAGCTGTTCCACCCCGAGCAGCTGATCTCCGGCAAGGAGGACGCGGCAAACAACTACGCTCGCGGTCACTACACGATTGGTAAAGAGATCGTGGACCTGTGCCTCGACCGCATCCGCAAGCTCGCGGACAACTGCACTGGTCTGCAGGGCTTCCTTGTGTACCACGCTGTGGGTGGTGGTACGGGTTCTGGTCTTGGTGCCCTCCTGCTGGAGCGCCTCTCTGTGGACTACGGCAAGAAGTCCAAGTTGGGTTACACAGTGTACCCGTCCCCACAGGTGTCGACGGCCGTGGTGGAGCCCTACAACTCGGTGCTCTCTACGCACTCGCTGCTTGAGCACACCGATGTTGCGGCGATGTTGGACAACGAGGCAATTTATGACCTCACCCGAACTCTGGCGCAGCCGGCCACCTCAACGTGGTGCCAGGGTCTAGTACTCTCTGCTGGAGAGGAAGCTAAGCGCCCGCTACCTACCCGCACTCTGTGGAGTGGTAGTAGACGCCTAGTTTTCAGGGCCGGCAGGGTATATGATGGAGCCTTTTTCGGGCTACCCGCGTGGTGTACTTTTTTAGTATGCTTTCTGAATGCCATCGGCGCTCACCTGCGCCATCCTAATCGACTACGTGCAATATCCAACGCACAGCGTCACACCTTATTGTTAAGTGGTGATATTGAGCAGAACCCTGGCCCTATTTCAGTACTCCAACTCAACGTTCAATCACTCACGCCCACGAAACTTACTTCCCTACTAGCGAAGGGAGCAGATATTATTATTCTGCAAGAAATTTGGAGAAACTCAAAGCAAATTTCTGCTTTGAAAACGGACCCCTATGTAGCGTATGCGTATACGCGCGAATCTAGAGGTGGAGGAACCTTAATTATGGTTAAAAAGACACTAAAGTCACGCCGTGTGAACTTTCGCAC